TATTACAATTGCGACCTGTTATAGCCGGTGACAATGACAATATGTGCATACATATAACAAGTTAAATGGTCAAATGTGTACAAAAATAAAGAAGTTATCTAAATATGAACAAAACGATAAATATAATTATCCTGATAAGTCATTTTCCCTTTATTCTTTCAGATTCTCACAACTTAATATATATAAAAAACATAGAGCCCCGTAACGACTCAATTGATAAAGTGATCGTTATGGATCATGAGATGCCAAAACTTTTAAAAGTCTGAACTTATTTTATGAGACAAATTTTATAAAATAATTAAAATATTTATAATCATTTTAATTAATTAAATTTTATCGTATCGGATATTTAGAAACAGATACCATTTAATGAAAAATATATTTTCAAAAGAATTAGCATGTTTTAAAATTGCCACAGTAAAAATATAATCATATTAAAAGAAATTGATCGTTGTAGAAGTGAAGAAATCATCTTAAAAACATTTATAAACCATTTATTTTTTATTAGTAACCAAAAAGTTATAAACGAAGAAATCCTCTGCTAACAATTATGTTCTTTAATGCCATTGAAATTTTGCAACTGGTTGTAGATAGTTAACTTGCTAAAATATAAAATATGAAAACGTTATCCGTTTTTTATGTTTAAAGAAATAAATGTGTTTTTTTTATAAACCATTTCAAAGTTTTAGTATTTTCTGATAATAATAGTTTTTGACATTTTTTGAATAGAAAAACTTATTTTAAATTATAAATTAACATTAAAATTAACAAAATATAAATTTTTGATAACGTTATCACGAAACTCTTTGATCGAGCATAAAACGTAGGTCTAATCGTCTACCAATCTTAACCACTTAATTAGTCGATAAAATGATTGTTACGCGTCATGAGATGCCAAAATTTTTAAAAGTCTTAACTTCTTTTATGCGACAAATTTTATAAAACACATAATTATTTGTAATCATTTAAATTAAATTGACTTTATCGTATTATATACTCAGAATCAGACACCAATTCTAAGCAATAATATTTAAAAAGAATTAACGTCTTTCAAACTTTTGTCACATTAAAAAATAATTATATTAAAAGAAATCGATCGTTGTAGAATTGAGGAAATCATTTAAAACCAATATAAAACATTTAATTTTTAAACATTTTTTTATCAGTAATCAAAAAGTTATAAAAGAAGAAATCTTCTGCAATCAATGTGTTTTTTTGCTGCCTTCTTACGGCCTCCATAACTCCATTTGTCTCCTTTTTCCATTCTCCTTCCTTCCATTTTTCTGATCAACTCTTTTGACGTGTTCATAGTTTGATTCCAATTCTAATTCCAATTCTAATTCCAATTCTTTTTTGTTTTTTGGAATCGAGTGGAATAATTTGTGAGATTCAGTAAGTTTAACTGTCTGACATCGATGGAAAATATGAAGAACTTGTTAAGTATTATTGTGACAAGAACTCGAGTTTCATGTTTTTTGGCGGGAGGTTCTTGGTGAGTCTTTGCTTTTGCTTTTGTTTAATCCGCTTGATCGTGTAAATTTGGCTGAAGAAACACATGTATATGTGTGTTTGACGGCTATATTTGTTCAGAAATTAATGTTTACGTACCTAGGGTTCTAATTGGAAGGACTGTGTGTGTGAAGATTTCGGAAAATAATCGATTGTTGTTATTAGAAGAAAATGACTTCGAATCATTCATCATTAGAAATGCTGCAAGAACCGAGCATCGACACCGATAAACTCAGCTACGAGATCTTTTCGATCCTCGAGAGCAAGTTTTTATTTGGTTATGACGATCAAAAGCTTTGGCAACCTAAACAGGTTTCTCCGGAAGTTTCTGTTGCGGCGGCTGACTACGAAGGTGTTCAATCGATTAAGAACCAAAGAGGCAAAATCTGCGTTCTATCGATTGACGGTGGAGGAATGAGGAGTATATTAGCCGGTAAAGCCCTAGCATATCTGGAAAACGCTTTAAAGGAAAAGTCCGGCAATCCTAACGCGAGAATTGCTGATTATTTTGATGTTGCCGCCGGCACGGGAGTAGGAGGCGTCTTTACAGCGATGCTGTTTGGAAGTAAGAACCAGAGCTGTCCGATTTTCAAGGCGGAGGACACGTGGAAATTTTTAGCGGACCAAGGGAAACGACTGTATGATCAGAAATCAAGTTCAAGCGGTGGTGGAGGCCTATTCAAAAGGATTTTCCGGGGGCGAAGCGGTGGCGGTGGCGGTGGCGGAGGGATATCTCACGCTACAACCGGATTTGAAAAAGCAATGAAAGAAGCATTCATAGTGAACGGACAGAGTTTGACTTTGAAAAACACATTGAAGCCGATTTTGATCCCCTGCTACGACCTCTCCAGCTCGGCTCCGTTCCTGTTTTCCCGAGCTGACGCTTTGGAAACCGACAGCTTCGACTTCCAGCTCTGGGAGGTTTGCCGCGCGACGTCAGCCTCTCCGGACTTGTTCGACCCGGTATCTATGAAGTCAACCGACGGAAAGACACGTTGTGTAGCGGTTGACGGCGGACTAGCTATGAGCAACCCCACCGCCGCTGCGATCACGCACGTGCTACACAACAAACAGGAGTTCCCGTTCGTGCGAGGGGTGGAGGACCTTTTGGTACTTTCACTTGGGACCGGTCAGCTTCTTGAAGGAAACTACAATTACGAACAAGTCAAAGGCTGGAAACCCCACAACTGGTGTCGTCCCATGGCTCGAATTTCCGGCGACAGCTCTGCCGACATGGTAGACCACGCCGTCGCCATGGCGTTTGGCCACACCCGTTGTAGTAACTACGTCCGTATCCAGGTATAAACTTGTGAATTGACAGCAACTCTCCTAATTCATCAAACATTTCTTAATCTTGAGCAATTATTAGTTCTCCAAAGTTAACAATGGTAAATTTATGATAATGTACACCTTCTAATTCACAAGGTACATGTCAAAAAAAGGACTAGGAAACTAGTGTTGAAAGATCAGGTGATTATTGGAAAGATGAGTTTGTGTCTTTATTTTTCTTGTTTTTAGGGTTTTGCCATATTTGTATAACACAAAAAGAAGTAGCATGATTTACTAGTATATGCCCTTTTTGCTTTTTGGTCCGATGGTCCTCCTTCTCTTTTCTCATGCCCCTTCAGTTTTAAATACTTTTTTGTAATCTTTTTATATTTTTTAAAATTTTAAAAGGCAAATGGTTCAAACATGGGTCGGTGTGGGATGAATGTGGACTCGGACCCTAGTCCAGACAACGTAAAAATGCTGACAGAAATAGCCGAGGAGATGCTGACACAAAAGAACGTTGAATCAGTGCTTTTTGAGGGAAAGAGGATCGGTGACCGGAGCAATCTGGAGAAACTTGATTGGTTCGCCGGAGAACTTGTGTTAGAACATCAGAGGAGGAGCTGTCGGATCGCTCCCACTGTTGCGTTTAAGCAAACCTCCCAGAAACAACAACAGACATAATCAAACAGAACCGAGTTCCCTTCCCATAAAGATAAAGGTAAGCTTTTTGTTAAAAAAATCTTGGTTATTATAGGGGTATGGGTGTCGGCACAAACAAAGGCCATTTTGGTCTTTTTAGCAGTGTAATCTGAAAAGTGTTTGTTGGGGTGGAGGGTATGTTTAGTCAATTTTTTGTTGTGGAGAGAAAGGAGGGGACAAAAATACCCTTGTTGACAAGATTTGAGGGTGGTGACCTGATGATGATGACCCCCCGGACCCTTGGGGTAGGTCCTTGTTTGGACTTTGGACTATTGCAATATGGCATATGCCAATCGCATGAGGAATAATTGTGACCATAAAGCCCCTGTTCTGTTGTTGAAAGAATAAGAATTTTATTAAAAAATGTGATGAAAGTTGATTGTGGAATGCAGGGAGGGAGGTTGGAAATAAAGTAAAGTAATATGTAGTATGTATGTACATGAGGATTAGGAGGAGCAGCTTTTACTTTGGGGGTAAAATGAGTTGAAAGGACACTCAACTATCAAAACAAGAAGAAAAAGGTAAGGTTAGGGATGGATTTTGATGAAATTTGTCTGGCTTGTAAGGAAAGTGGTGTCCATTCAATCACACCACCTTGCCCCACCTTACACTACCCTACTCTATTTGTGAGGGGCAAAAATGTAAAAATATGTGTACAAGTATTATATATGGGAAATGGTCAAAGGAAGGGTGAGAGTGTTATAATTGTGTGTTGTTGTTGTTGTTAATAGAGAATTATTGTTAAGTTGGCCCACTTAATTTTTGTAGTGATCAGATTAGAGTTACAAGATAAATATTCAAGTCCCAAGGAAGATGATTATGATTGTAGCTGGTGTAAAGGAGAGGGCCACTTGTTTATGTTTTGCAAAAAATGTTAAAACTAAAACTGTGTGTTTGTTTTTGTGTATATAAACTAGGTTTTTTAGCTTATTTTTAGTGCTTGTTAGACCAATACAATAGTTCACAATTTATTATTATTACTAGGCGAATGCCCGCGCGTTGCGCAGAAGTACCTATATAGTTGAAGTCTTTACAAATATATTTTTTTAAATATAACCATAACGTTGTTAAATTTGATATAATAATTCGTATACTAAATTGATATAATATATTATTGATTATTTTGAATTATATGATAATTTATACATCTATTATAACTACATAATCTCAATCGTTTGAATGACTTCTACCTGCGAGTTACACATGAATAAAATTAAATATAATATATGGTTTAATGTTATTTATAGTTATTATTTGTAACTAATTTTTTAAAATTTATTTGCTTAATGTTTTAATATCTATCATTATAATTATTTAAAATATCAAACATTGTTTTTTGATTTTAAAGGTAACAATATAATCATTTATATAGAGTTATTTTTAACTATTATTATTGTAAGTTATTTTAAGCTACTTATTTGAAAACTTTTAACGAATATAAATTATATTTAGGAAATATTTTAGTGAAATTGAAATTACAATTTAGTTTTTACATTTATCAATATAATTTATAATTTATACTCTATTGTGAGCCTCAATTTCCCACTGAGTGCTTTTTGGTTTAATGCAACAGGGTTGTTAAAAAAAATCAATATAATTTATCACTTTTAATTATTTACAAAATATTTTTTGGTCTTTTAAGTGGAACTGAAATTTATATTTAAGTTGACAGTATAATGTTGTATTTAAATTAACAATGTGAGTATTTTGTCAAAATTGTTCAAAAGTTGTAGCTTTAAACTGATAATGGTTTACATACAACAACATTTTAAATCTAATAAATTATGTATAATATGTTAAAAGTTAAAGACATAACTTTAAGTAGAAGTAAATATATTATTTTAAAATTGAAATTTAGTTTATTTATGATTACACTTTAGGCTTGATAGTTATTTAATCTTATTAACCAACTTACAATTATTATTAGAAAGACACTACAATTTATCACTTTTAACTATTTACAAAATATTTTTTGGGTTGTTTAAGTTAAACTAAAATTTATATTTAAGTTGACTCTGTAATGTTATATTTAAATTAATAATTTAAGTATTTTATACAAATTGTTCCAAAATTGTATCTTTAAAATGATAATAGTTTAAATCCAACAATATATTAAAACTAATAAATTAAGTATAATATGTTAAAAGTTAAAAAACATAACTTTATAAGTAGAAGTAAATATATTATTTTAATATTGAAATTTAGTTTATATATGATTACACTTTAGATTTGATATTTATTTAACCTTATTAACCAACTTATAATTATTATTAGAATGAAATTGAAAAGTCATGGAAGTTTCAAATGAATGTGGTGAAAGAAAAAATGAATGGGAGTTTCAAATAAATGTGGTGAATGAAAAAATGATTCATTTATAAGTATATAATGATAATTTTTAAGATGATAATTTTTAAAAGCTATTTGAGATAGCCATAACCATAAGTCTTCTAAATATCAATTAATTTTTGCCATGCATCGTACATCATATTTAACCATAAAACTATTATTAATTTCACTATTGTTAACCGTCTCAAAAATGAGTTTTCTACAAATAAAGACTCGAATAATAACATAAAAGAACTAAAAACAATTATTTTGGGTTCTAGCTAGTTTCACACATGAACCTGTTTTGGTTTTTTAGCAAGTTTTACAAATGAACGTGGTCTTGATTCATTTTTATTTTAAGAAGCTATTTTTCAAATCGATTTGCAAGGGAGGGCTATTTTTGTATTTTAACAAAGAAGCCATGCTTTAAAAACCGGTTCGAACTGACTGATTGAACTAGTCGGACCAGGGACAAGAGCGGTTTAACAACGATTGGTTATATGATAATTTCTAAATCGGATCAAATTGGACGGTTTCTTCAAAAACCAAGTTGAACCGGTGGGATAAAACCTATATAAAACCGTTTTTACTGGTTTATTGGGACTTAGATAGTTCCATTTCCAAAAAAAAATTGAATAGATCGATCATGTTATCCAGAATGTACACAACTTGAAGGAAGTCGACTTCTTCTCCGGCGGGTACATACGTTGGCAGGGTCTCGTCTCCCTTCTAGTTCTTTTCCTCCGGCAATTTCAGGATTTTGAAAGGAAGTCGCCCAACCCTTCTTCTTCGGTGGGATCAATCATCGGCAGAGTTTCGTTTCCTTTCTAGCCTTTTCCAGCTAGTTTTCGGACTGACTTTGTTCCATATTCTCCATTCTCCGTTCCTTCTGTTTTCAATTTCCGTTGGTTTTTAAACCCTTCTTTCATGCGTGCTCATTATGGGTTTGAAGTATAAGGAAGAAGGTTGGCAATGGTGCATTGGTAGGCATCAAATCCACATTGAACATTCATAAGTACAATATGTTGGTTCAAACTTCTTATATAATGATGTTTTACTCTCTTTAATTTTGCTGTTATGAATCAGGAACAAAACAGGAAGAAAGCAAAACAAAAACAAGAAGGAAAAGTGACAGCAAGGAAAAAACGTGCTGGAAAAAATAAGAAGAAGCAAGGGAACTTTTATGCTTTAACACTAGTTCATCATCTAAAAAGAAAAGAAAAATACACCTATTTATAGGCAAACAAAAAAAACGTGACAACTACTTATTTCCTAGACTTGTTGACCAAGTAAAACATCCTAATTTGACTCTACAACTAACTTTCCATATGCTGTGAAGTTTCCATATTCTGAATTACATTTACATTCTCCCCTGTAATTCAGAAACTCTTATCTCTTCAACTCCAAGCAACTTTCGCATTGCTTCAAACTTCACTTTGTTCATAGGCTTGGTCAAGATGTCAGCTTTCTGCTCATTAGTATTCACATGCTTTACTATAACATTGCCTCTTTCTATATGATCACGAATGAAGTGATATCTTGTATCAATATGTTTACTTCTTCCATGAAAGACTGGATTTTTCATCAAATCCAAAGCTGACTTGTTATCCACATTCAATTCAAATGGACCAAGTTTTCTTCCGGTCAACACACCAAGCAACCTACTTATCCAAATGCCTTGACATGTTGCATTATTAGCTGCCATAAATTCTGCTTCACATGATGACAATGCAACACACTTTTGCTTTTGTGAACTCCAAGTAACAAGATTGTCGTCTAAGTAAAACGCCATTCCACTTGTACTTTTTCTATCTTCAACATCTCTTGCTAGATCACTATCAGTGTATCCAATCACGCAATTCTTTCCACCTTTCGTATATGATAAACCATAGTCCACAGTTCCTTTTACATACCTTAGTATGTGCTTCACAGCTACTTGATGTTGCTTGGTTGGTTTCTCCATGAAACGACTCACAATGCCTACAAAATAAGCTATGTCGGGTCGTGTGTGAGTAAGATATCTTAGCCCTCCTATCATGCTTCGATATGAGGTAGGATCTACGAGTTCACCTTCTTCATCCTTAGTCAATTGTATCTTTGACTCCATGGGGTACCTGCAAGGATTACAATCAAACATCCCAGTCTTCTTTAGGATGGTGTTAGCATAATTCGTTTGTCTCAATGTGAGACCATTTTTATGTTGATTAACATCGATGCCTAAATAGTAAGTTAGCATCCCAAGGTCACTCATTTTTGGTTTATCTTTCTTCACGAATCCCTCCGGTTGTGTTACATAAACTTCTTCTTCTAAATTGCCTTTTAAGAAAGCTGATTTTACATCAAGGTGATGTACATTCCATCCATTTGAAGCAACAAGAGCAAGTATGATTCGAATGGTTTCCAAACGAGCAACCGGTGCGAACACTTCATCAAAATATATGCCTTGTTTTTGTACGTAGCCTTTAGCGACTAGGCTTGCTTTATATTTTAATATTTTTCCATTCGGGTCTCGTTTGATCTTGTACACCCACTTTAAGCCAATGGGTCTTCTATCCTTTGGCAACTCGACTAAACTCCATGTTTTATTTTTCTCAATTGCACTTAACTCACTTTTCATAGCTTCCATCCATTCTTCACTTTCACTTGCACTTGAGAAATTTACCGGTTCTTCTTCGTCTTGTAAAAACATAAGTTCATCACTTTCTTCGAATATCGGCCAAACTACGATATCTTTGTGGAGCTTCACTTTCGGATGAACTATCAAGTGATGATTGAGGTGTAAATGGGCTATCTTGTGGTATATATTCCTCATCAAAATTTGGATGGATATCTTCTTCCTGTTCAGCTTCAATATCAAGCATGATATCAAAGGTGAATGTTCCATTTGTCATGACTTTGAACTTTGTTGTAGGTCCCCACTCCCACTTAGCATCTTCTTCGAAAATTACATCTCTTCCTACTCGAACTGCTCCAGTTTCCGGATCAAGTAGTTGATAACCTTTTGTACATTTTTCAACTCCCAAGTGTACTAGCTTCTTACTTCTATAATCTAGTTTTTTTAGATGTGTGCCGACTATTTTTGCATAAGCAACACACCCAAAAACTCTCACATGATCAATGTTTAGCTTCCGACCGGTCCATAGCTCGTAAGGTGTTGACTCTTTTAAGGATTTTGTGGTTATACGATTTAGGATGTAGACTGAGTGACTTACGACTTCACCCCATAGGACTTCTGGAACATTCATCCCTTTTAGATTGCTTCTCGCCATCTCTACTACTGTTCGGTTGCGTCTTTCTACAACACCGTTTTGTTGCGGGGAATAAGGTGTTGTATAGTGGCGTTTCAACCCGGTTTCTTCACAATATGTAGTGAATTGTGTTGAAAAAAATTCACCACCCCGATCGGTTCGAAAAACTTTTAATTTTAAA